TGTGGTGGCAGGGATGGCAGGAAGGAAGGGAGGAGTTTATGAATGGACATGAAAAGAAAGACGAAGGAGATACCTGTATATATATACCTGTATATTAAACGAGAGAGAGAGAGAAGGGAGAAAGGACACATCCATACACACACGCACATGCACGTGCACAATGCACAGGCATTTGTATTTACGGCGTGCATGAACGGAGCCCCTTTTATATAAAAAAAGAGAGAAAAAAAAAAGGAAAAGAAAAAAAAAAGGAAAAGATTATCAAAAGGAAAAAACAATATGAAAATAAAAGAAATGAAGAAATTAATTAATTAATTGAGGATGAAAGAAGGAAAGAAGGAAGAGAGAGATGTATTGGAGACGGCCACACACACACACACACACACGTCACGTGAATAAATAAATAAATAAATAAAAAAAAAAAAGGGGTGCCGGTGAGAGGAGGGGGACAAAAGAACGAAAGAGAGGCGATGACTATTAATAATATGGTGACGACGATGACTGTACATAAGTGCCTCTGTAATGTACGCAAACATGTGCGGGGAACACGCTGTTGTGGGGTGGCGAATGAATGAATGAAAGAAAGAGGGGATTGGATTGGAGACCCTTCAGAAAAAACAACAACAAAAAAAAAAGAGGAGGAATTGGGGGAGTTGTCGTGTGGGATGTCAACACCGCGTGGCTGCACAACTGCCCCTTTTCCTCCTCCTTCCCTCCCCCCCCCTTCAGTACTTCCCTCTCTCTTTATATGCTGCAGGGGCTCCTGCTGCCTCTGCCTCTCCCCCTTCCATTCAACGCGGGAGGAGGGGCGCAGCGGCGGCGATGATGACAACAAAACAAACAAACGAAAAAAGTAGTAAACATGAGCGTCAATTAGAAGAAATGAACAAAATTTTTTTTTTATTTTTACTTTTACTTTTAAAAAAGATGGCCAAACAACAAAACAAAAAAAGTTTTTTTTCATATGTTTTTTCTTTTTTTTCTTTTTTCCCGCACACACACAAATACACACAAAAAAACAAAATTGTATGGACGTTTATAAATAACCCCTCCCTTTTTTTTTGGCGTGGCTGCGAACCAAACACACAGACAGACACACAGACAGACAGACAGACAGACAGACACAAAGAAAAAAGGAAAAAAGACATTACATGTACATTTTGTACGAATGTTTTATTTCCAAATGTACATGCGTGCTAGACATTGTTGAGATGATGTATAGAGATACAAGTATACATAACACTGTTCTGTGATGACTGCCTCCCTTTCTCTCTCCCCTCGTGTGTCAATACACAGACATACACATACACATACATACACATATATGTATATAGCAGCCACACACATGTATATATTACTTATATATGAGGAGAGGGAGAGCGAGAGGAGGGAGGAGTAAAAATAATAAATAAAAAAAAAAAAAAAAGAAAATGGATGAGTAAGGATCATACATTTTAAAGAACCTCATTTATGCCTCTTTGCTTTTTTTATTTATTATTTATTATTTATTTTTTCTTTTGTGGTTTGATTTGATCTTATTGTGCCGTTTATTTTTATTTTATTTTTTTGTTTTGTCCTTTCTATTTCTGCTTGATTGTACGTGTCTTTTACAAAATTTTCTTTTTTCTTTCTTTTTTTTTTTTTTATTGGATTTTTGGCTCTTTTCCATTGATTGTGATTTATTCGTTTTTCTTTTCTGGTGGGGCGGCGGGGTGGGTGGGTGGGTGGGTGTGTGGGGGGGATGACTTGTCGTTATGATCCCACGGGACGACACCGCCTTCTGCGTATTTATTTGTGTTTTTGTTTTCCCCTCCACCACCCTCTTTTTTTTTTTTTTTGTTCCTCTTCTGCCGCGCTGTTCTTCCATTCAGGCGTTCCGTTCGGGGACGTGTTGCATGGCGAGGGCACACATGTGCACACAAATACACACGGCAGAGAGAGAGAGAGAGAGGAAGAAAATCATGCGTCAGCGTGCGGCATGAATATATACATGAATATACATATGTGTGTGTAACGGCATGCAGTGTGGCATGGACAGGGGCAGTGTGCCTACACAATGGGGGAGGGGGAGAGAGAAGGGGTCATATGTGCACTCTACCTGTATGTATGTATATGTATGTATACGTATGTACATCGGGGTGTCCAATGACGGTGTGTTTGCCTGTTTTGTCTATTAGGCTCCAGCAATATTGATGATGGATGAAGTGATATCTTGGCACCGTTGGTTTTTTCTTTTTTTGCCTTTATTATTGAAACCTCGTTCTCTTTTTTTTTTTCCCTTTTGTTATTATTATTATTATCTTTTTTTGATGTACTTTTCTTTTCTTTTTTCTTTCTTTTTTTTTTTTTCCCTTTTGTTTTGTTGTTGTGTTTTATTTTATTTGACATTCCCAGCACGCATCTCGGTGTGTGGGTGCGTGTGTGTTCCTCCGCTTCACTGCTTCTCCCCCCCCCCCCTGTTTGACGGGGCATTCATCCAATAAAAAAAAAACAACAAAAAACAAACAAAAACAAAAGCGCACACGGACACGTGTTATTTCCCTCGTGAGTTTTATTTACTTTTATGCGTTTTTTTTTTTCTTTTTTTTTTGTGTGTTTTGCGGGTCGGGTGGGGGTTGTGGACGCGGGATTTGAAACTTCTTTTTTTCTTCCTTCCGGTTCTCCCCTCGTCGCGATTTTTATTTTACTTTTTTTTTTTTGTGTGTTTTGTGTTTTGTGTTCACTTCACTTCCCCTCCTTTTCTCACACTTGTGGCGGTAACACACACCCACAGGCAGGCGGGCATGGAGGCTGTGAGTGAGTGTGTGAGTGTGGCCGCTTTGAGGGACGGATGGCTGACGATGCGTGGGAGCGGGGCGGATTGTTATGAAACCCTCCTTTTCCTGCCTCCTTCCCTCTTATATAAAAATATATATATATATATGTGCTCCGCATTTACTTTTTTTTTTTTTTTCTCTTTTGTTTTTATTGATTTATTTTTGTGTTTTCCGCTGGCCATTTACTTTTTCCCCCCCCCTCTCCCTCCGGCGTTCATACATCCGCACAGAGAGATATACAAATATATATTATACACCGTGTGTATATATGTGTGTGTGTGTGTGGGATGATTGGATTTATTTTATTTTTATTTTTTTTTTCTCTCTCTCTCTCTTTCTCTTTATATATATGCGATGTCAATAATAAAAACAAATGAATATAAATATATATCGGAAGGCAACAAAACAACAACAACAAAAAATGGATGGACGGACGTGTGACAAGGGGAGAGCGGGACGGTGAGGGAGCGAAAAGGAAATGGTCAGTTGGGCAGTGACATCTGTCTGTTTGTGTGTGTGTATGTTTGTGTGTATGTATGCACTCAATCTGCCTCTCCCCCTCCCTCTTTGTGTGTGTGTACATATGCATGACGCTACATGAGTGTGGCGGTGGCGTTGATGCCTCGTAAAGGAAACAACAACAAAAAAAAAAAAAAAAACAGAAGCGGAAAAGAGAAGGGAGGGGATGTGGTGGGGAGATGCTCTTGTCCTTTTCTCCTTTTTTTCTTTTTTTGTCCCCCAGCAAGAGAAATAAGACTTTGACCCACACGTACTGTGACACAACGACAATGAACGGTACGGTGCAACGGCAGCGAGAGGGAGAGGAAGCGGGGGGAGAAGGAGGAGGATGAAAGGAAGAAGACAATAAACAGGACTAATACATATGCATTTCTATCTGTTTTTTTTTTTTTTTTTTGGTGAGGGATGTGGAAGTGAATATTGGGGGAGTGACGCAACAACACATATATGCACACATGTACATGTGCAGGGAGGCGGTGGGGAGGTGGGGGGGAGAAGCGGCAGTCGTGCCTGAGGAGACACATAAGTACACGTGCGGTGCGAATTGAGTAATTGCATGTGTGCATGTGTGTGGTGGGAAACCCCGTCTCTCTGTTTTTGTGCGCCACGAAGGATTGAATCGACACATACATGCACACATAAATATATACACACATAAATATAAATATACCGCCAGCCCCTCCATTTTCCTCTCGCATAACTCAACTTGAATTTCTTTTTGTTTGTCTTTTTCCACATTTTTTTTTTCTTTCTTTCTTTTTTCTGGTTTGCCCGTTATTTACATTTTTTATTTTTATTTTTATTTTTATTTTTATTATTGATCGGAGCAGCACAGTGGCGGTGTGTGTTTTTGTGCGGGGCGCCTCCCTTTCACTTTACGTGCGGCACGGGACGGATGAAAGTAGTGAAAAACAAAAAATAAATTAAAAAAAAGAGGAAGGAGAATACATGTATTTATGTGTGCTGGTATGTAATTATATACATATATATATATTTGTGTGTGTGTGTGTGTATGTGTGTGTGGGGGGGGAGCGGCACGGGGCGGTTACTTTGGGAAGTGGCCATGAGGGAGAGAGAAAGGGAGGGGTGTGACAGGTGGCGCCCGTATCTTTTTTTTTTCTTTTTTTGTATTTATTTGTTTGCTTTCATAACTTCTTTCTTTTGTCGTGCCATCGCGGCTGCGCATTACGCACTGACATCGTGGATCCATGAGAGTTTACATGCCGCCTTTAATAAATTTTTTTTTGTTTGATTTTTATTTGGCTTCTGCGTGGTGTCACGGTCATGGAGTGTCCCTTTTGATGGCCGCTCAGCCGTGAAAAGAGGGGTGGAGAGGCGGAGGTGCCTGGCGTGTGCATGCACTCTTTTTTTTTTTTTCTTCTTCCTTTCCATTTTCCTCTTGCTTGTTGTGGCTGGGGAAATTGTCCAGTAGTCATCGTTACTGTGCCATCATCGGTGCTCCAGCGGAAAAGAGGGGGGAAAAAGAAGGACAGGAGTTGTAGGCTTTGCAAGAGGCGCTGTGTGTGTGTGTGTGTGTGGGAGGAGAGCAACACCTGGGCGTGACGGCAGCGCAGTGCTGGTGTCGTGTAGTGCGCCTGTAGGTCTGGCCCTTGTTGATTGACGGCCACGTGTCGTGCTTACACAAACGTAAAAAAAAAGAAATAAATGGACACTGTCGACCCGAGAGGCACTCAAGGAGAGAGTGAGAACAACGGCAACAACAACAACAACGGCAACGGCAACGGCAAAGAAGGCGGCGGCGGCTCCCAGGCGAAGGCGACGAGCGAAAAGAATGTCGAGACGGTGCGACGTGTGTTCACACCAAAGTGCCTGAAGTGCGGGGTGACGTTTCCGTCCCCGCGGAGGACGATTCCGCCGAAGCGCTGGGAATGCCCCACGAAGGGCTGCGGCGGGAAGCTGTGGCAGCCGGACGATGCATCGCAGGTGTGCGATGTGTGCGGGGCGATGGTGGCACGCTTCACCCGACATCACTGCCGTCGTTGTGGCTATCTGACATGCTCCAAATGCCTGAAATTTAAGACGATCCTCACCGAATGGTCGCTGACGGAGAAGCAGCGTGTCTGCCGTCGCTGTGCGGTGCCTGCGGTGCCAGTAGCGATATCGGGATGGCTGCTGAAACTTGGCCAGCGTGCCACCTTCTTTGGGGAGAAGCTACACATGCGATACTTTGAGCTGCGTGGGACCGTGTTGCTCTACGGCAGGGCGAAGAGTAACGGTGAGGCCGATGAGGGGTTGACATCTGTGTCCCTTCCGAAGGATGCACGGCGGGGACGAGGTACAGGCAGCGGCATTAGTACAAGTGATGGTGCCAACAGCAGCTCCAGCAATAGTCATATGAATAGTAAAAATAATAACAACAATAACAACTGCGGTAGTAGCAGCAGCAGCAGTAATGCCCAACCAACCAATTCGATTCTCACTGGACAGATTGACATTTCCGGGGCGAAGGTGATGGACGTGGCGATTCACCCACATGCCTTTTGTATCGTTGGTCCATTTCTGCCGCGCGGCTACGTGCTCTCTGCTTCTAGTCAGGCCGCGAAGACGCAGTGGGTGGAAGCCATCCGGGAGCAGGTGCGGAAGGCACATCAGCAACGTGGGGATGAGGAATTTGAGGATGACTTGGAGAGTACGGAGAAGGTGCTGTACGCAGGAAGTGGTGCTGATAAAAATGTAAATGTGTCTATGCGAGACTTTGAGCTGCTGACGGTTATTGGGTTGGGCAGCTTTGGGCGTGTGATGCGAGCCAGGCACAAGGCGACGGGAAAGATTTACGCTTTGAAAATCCTCGACAAGGATCAGGTGGTTCAGCATCATCTGGTGCCCCACACGAATGCCGAGAAGCTCATCCTCAGCGAGATCTCCCACCCGTTTGTGGTGAAGCTTTACTACGCCTTTCAGACGAAGCGACATCTCATTCTTGTGCTGGAGTTTCTGTGCGGCGGGGAACTGTTCTTCCACTTGCAACGCTGCAAGCGGTTTGATGAAAATCGTGCACGCTTCTACACGGCGGAGATTGGTATGGCGGTGGAGTACATCCACAGCAAGAGTGTTCTCTACCGCGATCTGAAGCCGGAGAACCTCGTGCTAGACCGCGAGGGACACGTGGTGCTGACGGACTTTGGCCTTGCGAAGCGTGACGTGGCGGAAGACGTGCGGACCCACACCTTCTGCGGCACCCCAGAGTACATGGCGCCGGAGCTGGTGAAGAAGTCCGGCCACACCACCGCCGTCGACTGGTGGAGCCTCGGGGCCTTTTTGTACGAGATGGTGGACGGCATGCCGCCCTTCTACTCACCGAACGTGGCGGAGATGTACGAGATGATTCTGCACAAGCCGCTTGTCTGTCCGGCGAGGTTTTCGCCTGAGCTGAAGTCACTCCTGGGACGCCTGCTGGAGAAGGACCCTTTGAAGCGCATGACGAGCGGCGAAGAGTTTCGTGCCCACCCGTTTTTTAATGGACTTGACTTTGACAAGCTTCTGCGGCGCGAGATACGACCGAAGTTTGTGCCGGATGTCAGACGCAACGACCTCCGGTACTTCGACAAGCGATTCCTGCATGAGAGCACGAAGATCGCACAGTTGGATCAGCCGTGCGACCCAAGTGACCCAGTCAGCCGCGCATTTGAGGGGTATGAGTTCAACGTTCACGTGCCCACGACGCAGCCCGCGATGGAGGAAAAACGTGATGATATCGACAGTCATGATGACGACGGCGGCGACGTGAAGGACGGGGGAGGAGATGCCACACACACGGCGTGAGGTGGGACCGTTGGACAAGGGCAGGGAACACATAAATGTAGCCTCCATACAGAATATACACATACATGCGTGCCTTGCTGGGTTGTGCCGAGACTTTCTCCACACACACATTTACAGACAACCGGAAAGGAAACGCGCATGGGATTTATATAGCAACCGTAGGAAGAGACAAAGAACATGTGAATATGAAAGTGCGGCGTGTCGTCTTTTTTTTTTTTTTTTCTTGTGGTTGTTTTCTGCGCAACACCCGTCATGAGACTTCATCGATCTCATCCCTCGACTTCCGGTGCACATTTATGCTGTGTGAATGGTTACAGGCCTGCCCCTTATTTGTAGTTTGCAGCATAAATTTTATTAACGATATCGCGAGCTCCGTTTGGTCTTTTTTTTTGTTTGTTTACGTATTTATTCTCCTCTTTTTTTAATTATTATTTTATCTGTGAGGAGTCCTGCTTGCTTCCACTGAACGAAACCCCCTTTTTTTCTTCATGTATGCTTCTGCTTTCTTGCCACTTTTCTTTTTTTTCCACTCTGTGTCTAAATGCCTGCTTGTGGTTGCATGCGGACAATACTGCCATCTCCTCTTGTTTCCCCTTACAGTGTGTGCCTCCTTCTTCTCTTTCTTTCCCTCTCCGTTTTGGCATGCGATGAGCGTAGGAAGTCATCGGCCGGCATTAGCGTGAGGCGGTGGGAAAGCGCAGGTCGTCCAAAACCCCATCGGTCACCCACCCGTCCAGAAACACACACACACACATATATATACACACGCACAGAAGCACAAGTAACCCAAAAGTTTTTTTTTTTTTCCTTTTGCGCTTCACCGGAGGAGTGGCTGCGCTTCAGGGGGCTGAACGTGAAGTTTTTTTCTTTTTTTTTTTTGTAGTCTTCAACTTATTTGTGTTTTACACTTTCCCTTCGCTCCCCAACACCGCATTGACGTGGGGCGAAGGATTGAGGGAAGGGGAAAAAAGCAAACAAACAAACAAATAAAAAAGAAAAAAGTAATATAAAGAAAGAAGGGTACGGAGAGTGTGGGGGTGGGGAGGGACAACGAGAAGGAAGTGCACCCGCGAAAGGACGGTGTATATACACCAATAATAATAATAAGAATAATAATAAAAAAATAAAAAGCAAAGCGTGTTGGCTCCACGTGGCGTTTTTTTGCGAGGGAACATTCAGAAGGCAGCGTGTGGCATAACGGCCTTAAGAAGGAAACCTCATTAGTTGCGTAGGCATATATATACAGATATACAGATATACAGATATACAGATATACATACAGCTTCGTGCATACATATTGATTTAAGGCGTGCATCTTGGTTTTCCTCCCCCTTTTTTTTTTAAAATTTTTATTTCTCTCTTTTTTTTCTTTTTCACTTTACGAATGCGGCCTTTGAGTGGTAGATCCGACGACAGCAGCGGCGGCAACTCACCTGCGCCCCTCATGAACGTATCACAGGTATCCCTTCCTCTTCACAGTCAATATTTGAGGAGTGAGACATCGTCAGAAAAGGTGAGCGATATGTCGCAGCAGCACCGACGCGGTTCATCATCCGGCTCTACGCTCCCCGTTGCATTTCCACCAATAATGCCCAGATTTCAGTTGCCAGAGTTGACATCGCCAAGATCATCGGGCATTAACAGTGCTGGGATGGGGTTGTCATTAAAGGAGGGAGTCTCTTTTCCGGTGACACCAGTGAAGACCCCGTTGCACCCACGATCCCCACCGCCATCACCAGCAGAGAAGCCGGGCAATAAGATGATGGCGCTGTCCTTTAAGGAACGGCAGCGCGTATCGGAACAGTTGCATCGATTTTCTTCGAAGGAAAGAAGCGCAGGTCTCGCTCCACAGAGCTCTGGGGCACCACGGGTTGTTGCTGGACGTTGCGGGCGTGTCCCGAAAGGAACCATCAGCTTTTTGAGAGGCAACAGCGGGGAGGGAATCAGCAGTAATGCACACATGATTGGCAAAGGCAGAGGCAAACCGATGAAGGGAGAAGAAGGGGACGATAAGGCGGGGACTACCGATACTCGAGATTCTACACCCTCGTTACCGCAGTTTTCTCCCGTGATTTCTCCAGTGACGTGCGAGAGACAGTCACACGACGACAACGACAGCATCCGGAAGGATACGTTTGCCGTGATGCTCAGGCAGCCATCGACAGTCTTGTCTTTCAAGGAGCGTCAACGCCGGACGACGACGCTGTCCCCGTGTTTCCGCAGGAGCCCCACATCGTGGATGCAAACGACTACGCCCAATGACAGTGGATGCCGCTTGTTGAGGCAGGCATGCAGCTTTACCACGGCGCCGTTCCCACGTGAATTAGATGGCGCCAAGTTGGAGCGGCAGCCACGGCGCCTCCTCGATGGAGGGGAGGAAGATAATCCGGCAGCAAAGCTTTCTGATGACGCGGGGCCACCGCTCGTCTTATTGAGCTCATGGGGAACCCCGCGTGGGGGAGATTCCTCTGCCCTCGTGCGTCAGTGGACTTTCCCTGCCTCGAGCAACAAACTTCAGTACTCTTTCGCGGAGTCTTCCGAAAGCAGGAGGAGTTCTCTGGAGCGCACCGTAACTCCCCGTCATATCAAAGCCGTGCCGCTCTCCGGTAAACTCAGCGGCACCCAAAACTCGCGGGACAATTCTCGCTGTGCCCCAGGCCCTGTCACGCCGCCGATTGTATCGCCGCGTCTTATTTGCAGTAGAGTTCTCTCGCCGAGTAGCGGTTCTTTAAAAACGAGGAATGATACCGCGGAAAGTCTCTCAACGTCTGCCAAAGTAAATACTGTAAAGAAGAGGGGAAGCAAAGAGCATGTGACAATATGCCAAGTAGCACGCACCACAAGCAACGTCCTTTGCTCTTCAGAGGTTTTGGAGGATCCTGCAGACTTAGGATCACCACCGCCTAAATCAAACGCCACGGTCAAGCAGCGTCGTAATGATTCTGCAGGACCGGATAAGGAAGGGCGGACACCATTGCGAAGTTCGGCATCGCAAGGCAACTTCCAAACGGCGGCTTCTGTCGGAATTACAAGTGGGACAGACCGTCGTGAACGCGACAAGATACTGAAGCGTCCAGCATCTTATTTCTCTTCTCAGACGCCTCCTTTGCTGGGTGAGGATGCCACGATGGCAAGCAAAACTGCTGAGGACAACCTTGTGCAGACGCCCCAAAATGTGGATGAATCCTCCAGTCAGTTGGAGTCTGGCTCATCCACGGGACGCGTTGAAGTGTCTGCCAGCCGCTTTCCGGCACTTGAGGGATTCTCCGTATTTGCCGCAACGCGGGAAAATGGGCGCAAGAGCAGTTTTTCAAGCCTTTACTTCTCGATGATGAAGCACCACCGATCACAGCGACTCATGCCTAACGCCAACCAGCCGAGCCAGATGATGCCTGATGAAGAAACAAACCGTGAGGTAAGGGGCGACAGTGGGTTCGATGAACTTATGAATGGGGACGACGACTCCTTCACGGGCTCCCTTCGCACCATTGGGATTTTAGAGACGGAGGAGCATGTATTTCTCTCACGGTATGAGTTGCTGCCAGAAGGCCAGACCCAGATGGAAATTATGTTAGGTAGTATTCGAACAATAGGGGGACAAAGCTTCAACAAGAGCAATAGCGGTCCTGGCAGTGAGTTGAGGCGAGGTAGCTTTATGAATCCTTCCGCTAGGCACGATCGATTTGACGAGGAGGAGGGGGATAGCGATGATGTTTTTACCTTTGGTAGCATCTCACCCAAGTACGCGACTGACCCGGTGGATGAGGACCCATTGGTCGATTGCAAGGTGGCTGCACGTCTTCTTTTTGATGCTGAAAAGGGTGTCATGCTCATATCCGCCGAGGAGGAGGTGGGGAAATACATTAGCCAGGCAGCTTGCATGGGCGCCAACAAAGGGGTGAGTGGTGAGGAACAATCGATGTGCAAATGCAGTCAGGAGTTTATCGCAAAGGATGTGCGCGGGGTGGACTATAGCAGATACCATGCCCATGATCTGTATCATCACTGTGTTTACTGCAATCGACGCCCCGCTGCGTTTCTGTGTTTGCATTGCCTGCGATCCACATGCCCTTCACACGTCACGCGGCATTATAAGGAATGCGAGGCGAAATGTACACTGTTTCTGAATTTGCTTGATATTATGACAAGCTTTGACCGCATTTTTTGGTGCGAGAAGTGCCGCTGTTTCACTTGGAAATACACCGAGGTGTACGATCCGCTGGTGGATCAATTGGCCGTCACGCGCGGGACACATCTGAAGGAGGCTGTCCGTGATATCTCGTGTGTTGGCTATGAAGTTCAGCTGAAGAAGCTGAACCATCGGCAACATCAGTTGAGTCTTTACGCATCGCCGGCGTTAGAGGCGTTTTCTCCCAGTGTGAACGCTAGCCCCAACTTTTCGGCGACTCCGGCGCCGTCGGCCGCCGCGTCCCCTATGCCGTTTCCGATGGATTCAAGACACGAGCGATTGATGTCGGGTGCGAATCACAACTTAGCTCTGGAAAAGAGGAGCGTGGCTATTGATACCACCACCAGTGCTGCTGTTGCGGCTGGTGGATTGCCCATAGCGCGCTTGCCACAACGCGACAGTGGGAAACCGCTACCGGAGAGTGAAGTGCTGCGTATGGGTGAGGCGGTCCAAAAGCTGGTCTCACTCGGAGCGAAGGTGCAGGGTTGGCGTGCCACGCAGGAAGATGCGGAGGCGGCTTTTGTTGTTGCCATTCCCGCACTTTCCCCCCAGTTGCTGTCCGATACGGACGCCACATCACCACCACCAAAACCAATAGACTCACCAGAAGACGCGGAACCAGAGACAATAGCAATGGCGTTGTTTTGTGTGTTTGACGGTCATGGAGGGGACGCCGTGGCGAAACTTGCCGCCAGTAACTTTGAGTCGCATCTACGCAAAGCGATGGCATCCGCACGACACGATGACGTGCAGGCTCGTTCACTTCTCTTCCAACTAGATTTTGAATCTTCGACGGCTCTGTTCTCTGTAGGGGAGGCATCACCGGTTGCCGCGCGGGAGAATGCATTTAATCGCCAGTTGAGTCGCCCAGACGACGAGAAAGATAATGAGGTTAGCAACGATGACATCGTGCCGGAGGTTGGTTTCACGTCGGAGACACTGCGGCGATATGTCGAGAGCACCAACGCGTGTCGAGCGTCCCCACCACAGGCGGCACCGGTGCCAAATTTTGTTGCAGCGACAGCCGATAAACCGGTTGGTACTCAGGCTCTTTTCTCCATGGTGGATGTTGGTGGATTGGGTGATATAACGACAGATGCCCTTTCGGCCAGATCCAATCTGAGGCTTTACAACGCCGCCTCACCGGTCGTGTCGCAGCGGGAGATGGAGATGCTTCGAGCATATTTTGCTAGCATCATGGAGGATGCACTTCTCTCCCTCGATGATGACCTGCGGCACAGTCCAGAGGGAATGAGAGGGGATTATCAGTGTACCGGATGCACCGCATGTATAGTTGGCATCACAGCAAACTTTATTCTTTGTGCGAACCTTGGCGATAGCGGGGCCGCCGTGTACACCCCTTGTAGCATCCGGCAGATCAGCGTTACGCACCGCATTACGGATCCGGCGGAGGAATCACGGATCAAGGCCGCAGGTTACGCCATCACTGGAAACCGCATCGAGGGGATGCTGGCTGTGACACGGGCGTTAGGCGACTATGACTTTAAGCAGTGCGGCGGCAAAGGCCCCAAAGAACAGGCGGTTATTGCGGTCCCGGATGTCACCATCATGCCTGTGCCGTTTTTGCAGGACAATGCGCGGTGGGGTGTCGTTGCCGCATGTGACGGTGTGTGGGATAGCGCCACGCTGCACCAAGTGCATCACGCCATTATCAACACACCCAACGACTTGGATGTGGCGGGGTCTGTGATGGATGCGGTCCTGCAAGCAAGGGAGATGTCGTTGGCACTGCCGCAGAAGGCGTCCGCGTTGCTTGATGGCGTGGATGCCGCAGAAACGGCCTCGCTGGATGCTCAGCTGCTCACCTCCGCCGCCGGCATCTTTGCGCAGTGTGTGGCACCGAGTGACAACGATGAGGGCATCGGCATGGACAACTGCAGCCTGTTTCTGATTGAGCGCCGCTAGCACGGACAACAACCTATCAATTCTTTCTCAAAGTACAGGCGTGCGACAGGAGCAGACGCCACAGTCCCGCACATGCGCACACAGACCTATCAAAAAGGAAAATAGTAATAATAATCGAAAGTACAGAAACGAGTTCAATGGAAGGAGAATCCGGCGCCTTATGTATGCAGTGCCATTTTGGCAACAATATTTTTTTATTCCACATGCATTTTGCTTTGGATGAAGGGGGGCAGCACAGCCACCAAGTCCGTGTGTATGTACGTTTAGGCATAAATTGCTTGAGAAGGTTTGGGCCGCGTGTTTTTTCTTTCCGTGCATGCCCGATGATGAGAGGTGTTCAATACAATGAGGAGTGGACAACAACAACAAAAATGGAGTGAACGATCAAAAAGGAGAAAAACCGAAATCTCCCCCCTTCTCCCCACTCAAAAAAACAAGAAAAAAGAATAATAGAAACGGCTTCAAATTCATTGACGAGAAGAGTTATGCTCAACCTTATCTTTCTTATACTTATTTATTGCGTACCTGTATGTTTTCTTCACGTAGTAGTGGTCGTTGTTGTTGTTGTTGTTGTTGTTTAGTTTGCACTTGGATTTTCCATTTCATTGCCACTTAAACATTTTTGTTTACATGCGAGGTGGTAGGAGGAGGAGGTGGTGGTGATGGTGGTGGCCGGAGGGAGAGGGAGGAGAGGAGGAGAGGAGGAAATGGCAGAGGAAAGGGGACAAGAAGAGGCACACGCTGATAGTAGGGGAGCGTTTACTCCACGCAAGGGGTGGTGATTTTCACTTTAACGAAGTATTGCTAATATATACTTGTCTGTCTTGCTCTTTCTTTCCCTCTCTCTCTTTGACGTATGCAATGCGGGGATTTATTTATACATTCACACGCTACATTTTTTCTTTTTTTTTTTTTCTTTCTGTGTGTGTGTTTTGCTCCTTGGCTGAGTGACCCTCCATTTCACTGTAGACGTGATATTGTTTTTGCGTGGGTGCGTTCATTTGGTTGCGGCGGAGCCCTCTTGTGAGTATTTGGTGTCAAGCGGTTCTTGACTGTTGTTTTTTCTGCTTTCTCTTTCTTTTTTTTTTTTTTTTGTGTGTGTGATTTGATTAGATGTTGTTTTTTCTTTTACATGTGTGCCCGTTGACATCAGACTTTGAGGGTGATATGATCGAATGCCGACTGGGTTGAACCGTGAAGGGTGAACGCTTTTTCTTCGACAGCGTCCCTCGGAATAGCGCCCTACATGCGTGTTGGACTTTGTGGTGCCTCGTGGAGGTCGGAGGAGAGCTGGGACGCGTGTTTCCACCAGACATCTTTTGCAAAAGCTGTTGCACCGCTTCACTGCATTGCCGTATGTCTTTTGGTGGCGGCCTCGTTCTTTTTTTTTTTGTCTGCAGGAACGGCCTTTTGTTTCTGTATGGGTTGGTGCCCACGGCGCGTCGTGGGCCTCGTTTAGTGTGGCATAGCGGCTCTGAATGGTCAACTCCCAAGCAGCAGCAATGAGTGGGCCTTTCGCCTCTGTCACTTCGGCTGGCCTTTGGTTATGGATATGTGCTACTGGCGGCACGTTGGCTTGACACATTGTGGGTGGGTGAGTGGACGGCTTTGGTTGCGCTCGGCCCCCTTCATTGTGCGGGGAGGAGGGGGGAAAAACAACAAAAATGAATGGGTGCATTGACACGCCATGATTGAGAGAAAAGCCTGCAGCCAGGCCGAGGGCATTGCCACGGCCGTGTTGAGTTCTGTCTCCCAGTCCGCACATTGCTCCGTCTTCATGCGTGGTGGTCATCCATGCACACAAGTCGAGCATTAAGTGTGAAAAGGGAGGCTGAGATGCAGAGGGGTTTTGGTGAGGGCACGTGCTGCGCCGACGGAATTAAATTCAACGCCAATTGGTGTGCGTGTGGGTGCATGTGTGCGGGAGGCGATGCGGAACTGCAGGCTTCGTGCAATCACGTTTCATGGGTCTTTACTGGCAGCCACCTGCAGAAGTGGTGGGCGAAGAGAAGAAAATACAAACACACACTTAAGAGTGGCCATTTTCGCTCTTTATGCTGTTTTTTTTCTTTTTTTAAATCCCTCATCCTGTGATGAGCCTTTTTCCCTTCCTTTTTTTAGAGTAATTTTTTTGCTGACACGTAGGCTAAGAGGCCTGTTGGGGTACTGTGAGGGCTTTCTTTTTTTCTCTGTACAACAGAGAGGAGGAACGAGAAAAGGCACGAGGAAGGCACTGTCACGGAAAAATAAACGTGAACAATTCCTTTCTTAAAAAAAAAAAAGAAAAATAATTAGTAGCAGAGAGAGAAATAGAGTGAGTGAGAGAGAAGGGGCGGACATAACGCGTCGATAGAGGGATGTTGGACGATGCCTGCACCGAGCAGAAGCAGCTGGCGTTGAAGTGGATGGTGTCACATGCGGCGCCATCCCTTTCTTCGGTGGTGCGGTGCAGCGACGTGCGTTCAACTCCGGCGGCGGCGGCAGCATCTTCATCAAACCTTAGCGATTGTTATGGCGGCGCAGCTCACCGGCTGACGCAGTCTTTGCTCAGACGGGGCACTCAAAGAGGCGTTCCTTTAAACTCAAAGGCAGAAAGCCCGACGTCGGCAACAGGACCCTCTCGCAGCTTCCGCAGGGAAGTGACAGACGTGTTGCCGGCGACGACAATTTCATTCGAGAAGGAACTACCGGCCAAAAAGCGGGTGCTTCGCCGAAGTGCCAGTGGAGGCATGCAAATTTCAGCGTCCTTGTCATCCTCCCGCCCACCGCCGCCAGCAGCCGGTTTTTCCAGGACGTTTTCTCAACGTGTCAGTGGCAGCGACACATGTCTATTTGTTGAACGATCATTGTTGCGGAGCAGCGGAGAGCTCCGCCGCGTCATAGGGACGCCTTCGATGGGGCGAAGAGTATCCTTTAGTGAAGGCACAGCGCATGCCGCCAGTAGGCGCTGGAATGAATCAGGCCGGAAGTCGAGAGCCATTCTCGACAGCCATCCATCGTCATGCGATGTCTCGACAACAGCGGCACCCCGAACGCCACTTAAACGTCTGGAGTCGGCGCCCATCCTACAAGGAAAGCCTTCACTAACGAAGACAGAGGAGGGGGCTTCCATTTCACCCTTACGTCTGTGCGTGGGCGCCGCTGTTGGCAGCTCCGGACAAAAGCCATTTATCCGACAAATGACTAGGAGGGGCTCTGGCTGTCTCGTGATGCCGTCACTGGCTTTACGAAATACCGGGGGAAAGTTGAGTCTTGCGACGACGCCCAGTCCAATGTATATTATAAAAAAACACGCTTTCGAATTCAAAGGTGCACGGGAAAGCAATGCATCTACTAAAACTTGCGTGCCGTCAACATCCGCACCACAGGGAATGGCTCGGACAACGGCAAGAGAAGGCACAGAGGGCGATAAAGATTCAAATTCTCAAAAATTATTCCATCAGCCCCAGCGCAATAACAAATATAATCAGAAGCAATCGCAACAGCAACAGCTATTAAAGACGACTTCGGTCTTTGCACGGTCCAATACGACGTATGTCTCTCCTGTAGCGAAGGGTTCTTCCACCAATGCTACTAGGAATGGTTCCGCAGGGGTGCCGTTTGCACGCCAGGTCAGTCAACTATGCCTCATGGTTCTACAAGAGCGTGACCGTCGCCTTGAACGACAAAAACCCATGCGGGAAAAGGAGGCAAGTGAGGCCAAGCCCAAAGGAGGGGAAGATGAAGCGAAGCTAAGACAACCGTCACGCTCAATGGATATTCTCTCAAGTTCGGTTGTGTCTCTGCCTTTCAGAAGTTGCTTTGAGGAAGTTGAGGCCGAAGAACGGACGGGCTCACCGGGGGAAGTCTTGAAATGCGTGAGGACTGTACTAGAAAAAAGAGGCGTGCCGCGGATGCAAGATTCCGACTCGTCAATGAAGCTAACGGGTAATTCCAACGAAAATATGAACGCCTGTGGGGTAAGCAGCAGCATTCGCTCTAGTGGGGCTTCAACCACCGTGCGCAGCGGTGATGGGGCGACGCACAAATTTGCCGCAAGGAAGAGCGGTGAAAAAGTGGAGGAGGTTAAAACTGGGGGTAAGATGGATAGTAATGTCTGCTATGAAAGTCCCACGGATGGGGAGAAACAGGAGAAGGAAAGGGAGGCGGTGGAGGAGGAGGAGGAGGAAGATGATGATAGATGGTGGGATGCCGAGGAAGACCCATGGTGGTGCTTTAACGTGTTATGGTGCAGGTCTTCGGAGTCCCTGCCACCGCTTCCAGACTTTGTGCCTTCACTCAACTTATCTTTGTTACGCATCCCCGACGAATTTACGGCACGCACAACGAAATATGCCATTCCAATGCCAACCCCAGTGACTATCTGTGGAGAGAATGGCGTGAGGGCAGGAGGCAAGTTCCGTGAATCTTTACAATGTGTATCAAACAATTTTACAGACACAAGTGATGCCCTTGCGGGCGGTAGAGGTGCAGAGCGGGAGTTGAATCAGTCTCTCCGAAAGCTGCGTATTCAACTTCTGTTGTTGGAGACCCATGAGCGAAGATCGCGCCGAATGGTCAGTCAGGATGAGACAGCGGCGTGGAAAGCAATAAATAAAAAATGTGGCTTAGACCTGTTAAAGCACAGGCGAAGATAAGCGTATATATATTTATGTGACCTTGGGAACGGCTCTGTACAGTGATGCATTTATATTTAAATTTGGGGATTCTTCGTCTCGAATTGTTTTGACGCTATCATTTGTAAAAGATTGGGCTTAATTCATTTACTAGTAGTTGTAGTTCTTCCTTATTATTATTATTATTATTATTATTATTATTCCTCTTTATTTGGCAATGGATACGGCTTTTGTGCTCTTGTTGCCGTGAATGACATTGTAAGTGAGGGAGGAGCCTCGCAATGATGTGTGCGCGATACTCTTCCCACGGCGCAATTTGGTGTTGGGAATGAGTGGGGGGAGGGGGTTACTGAGGCAGCGACAGAAAATGTGACCTGGCGAGAAGCAGGCGTTGGGTGGAGAGTCACATGTTGGCTGTTTGCTTGTGTTTATTATTATTATTATTTTCCCTTTCTTCTGGACGTTTTTTTACACGTTCCATTGCACCCATTGGCTCTCTCTCTCTCTCTTTGGCTCTCTCTCTTACTTAGTGGTTGACCCTCCCAAAGTCTTATTTACTTATGCACCATTTTTTTTTAAAAAAAGATAAATAAATACAAAAGGAAAAAACGCTTCTTCTTAAAGCTGGGGTTCTGTATTGGCCGCAGCATTGTGTTTTGCAGCCTCCAATCTAAATTTCATTTTGGTGACAACTGTCTGTGGGAGGTTTTTGCCATGCCGAATTAATTTTTTCCTTCTTTCTTGCTGTTTGTCTCTCTCTCTCTCTCTGTGTGTGTGTGTACATACAAGTGTTTGTGGTTTTGTGTGTGTGGGATAGCAATTATCATTGGAAGGGTGGGACACGTTTTGCGAGCAGCACTCTTCCTGGCATAAAAAACACTGTCGCAAGGGGGAGTTTGTGCCGGCTTTTTTTTTTTTTGTTGTTCACGGCACAGGTTGAGGCAGACGGCGAATGCACAACGATAACTCCGTGAAAGCGCGACGCACACAGCCAGGGGCGTATTTGGCGAATAGCGACAAAAATTTACGGCCCCGCAAAGCGATGAACCCGGGCCCTCATTCAGACGTTCATACCAGCAGCTACAGGGATCCCTTTTTCTCTTCTACCGATGCTGCTGCGATGGCGACGGCAAAGGGGGCGATTCCTGCAGACAATGAGGGCGGCAGTTCTCCTGCGTGGGACTCATCGCTGCTCTCCAACCCCGGTGGTGCCTACGACTCGCGGTTTAGAACACCACGCTCCTCCCACTCAACGGAGCACGTTGGCGGGGTGTGGGAAGCGTTTGATGATGATGAGCACACAAGGAGGCGAAGGCTCTGGGCATTTTGCCGGCTATACAGAGATCAGGAGTCTCGGGAGCGCTTTGACATTATTGTGGAACAGGTTCTGATGATGCGTTCCATTCTCTCCACGGAGTTTGATGAGCGACTTTGGCTTCTTCCGGAGTCCGAGGCGACGATTACGCGACTGGAACGGGAGGCGGTGGAGGCAATGCACCGTCTCATAGAAGAGCACGTCTGGGGCCTCCAACGTGTTTTTCGTAAATTTTATTGCCCCAAAGCACCGGGGGAAAATAGCAACCCGCCCCCAACGGACACGGCGTCAGTTGGCATCAACACGGGCGGGGATGTTTTATTTGATTCCTGCAGCACCATCAAAACCACCGCTGAGGGAAGGCTGCTGGCAGAGGAGGAGAAGGAGAAGGAGTTGGCAAAGACCGCTAAAAGGGCCGAAGAGGACTACGCGTTGCTCTGCGCGTGTGCGGGGGGTGAGGTGTGGCTCAATAAGGCAGAATGCAGGAGCCATTTAGAAGACGAGGTGGGGCATTTCACTCCCATACAGCGCCACATGCCTTTACGCGAACCGTCACCGTGTAGGCTGACGCCATGCCCCAAGGAGACATGGTGTGAGGCTCAGAATCCGCTGACTCCCGTGCCGTTGGACGGACCTAATGACGTGGTGCAATGCGCACAGCCTTTCGCATTGATTTCTTTTCTTCTCTTTATGCCGGCGGGGGTATTCGTGCGTTGCGTGCGTGTGTTGCAACGACTGCATGATTCAAGAAAAGTGGTGCTGTGGTTTGCAATTGGCAGCACAAGGCGTGTTTTGGAGGGTTTAATTTGGCTTGTGAATCACGTCTATCCCATCCAGCTGTCAAAGCTGAGCATTTTTTTTACTGTCGGTGCAACGGTGCGCTGCGGCAGAGGCACTCTTCAGGTTGCTTTTTTTCAGCTTTACATGACATTTGGCAGCTCCTGTTGCGCTGCGTCAGCACTCAAGTTAGCCGGTGCAAAAACCATGATTGCCGTCAGGACTGCCATTTCTGACACTTCTGCCCTGGCTGCTGGCTGGTGCTATGAGGCTCTCGTGTTGTTTCCGATTGGATGTGGAGTGAAGCTGACAGACGCCGCAGCCGAAGGCACCAGACGAGTGGCCACCACCACAAAGCGCACCATGTCGTTTTCTCGTCGCGCTGGCATGTACATGACGTGCTTCACTCTCGGCGCCGGAGCTAAGGCCGCTGCGAAAATGTCCGTCGCCGCGTCTAATGCTATGCGTGGCATCATTAAATGCGTTTAGTGCGGTTGTGTACAATAGGAAACACAACTGTCTACCTTTTCTTTGTCTGTCCGTGTGTGTGTGTGTGTGGGGGGGTTGCGTGTGTAGGTATCTTGAAAGCGTATTCGCGCGAAAGCCAATTATACGGATATTTATACCTTTTTTTCCGTGCATGTACTTGTATGCACGTGTATTATTTATGGTGGTGTTTCATGGATATCACGATAACTTTATTTATTTGTTTATATGTTTGATGTGTGCGTGTGTGTGTGTTGTGTTTGTTTTATTTTTGGCAGTGGAGTGCAGTGGAGTGTGTGCTGCGTGTTTTGTCTCGTTGATGTATACACGTGTGTTGCAGGCATGTGTGTATGTCTTTTTCTTTTTTTTTTTTTTTCTCCTGCACACTCTCTTCTTTGGTCCCCCACTGGCCAAACCCAACGTAAAAAATAAAAAAAAAAATAAAAAAATAAATCATCTCTCATGAATGAAATGCGGAGGCGTGAATTTTTTTGATTCGCGGTGTTGTGCGTGTTGTCTTGGCGGGGAAAACAAAAGTTTGAAGCGTGGCGTTGATATTCTTTTATTTTTTACTTTTATTTTTATACAACCGCTGCTTCCGGCATCGTTTTTTTTTTTCTTTTTTTTTTTTGTCTCTCTGCGGAGGATTTCTCTTCACACGGCCCCCGTTGTCATGTCGCCCCCTCTTGTGCACACACACACACACAGGCAGAAACACATGCAGACACAAGTGAGGCACACCACCAGAATTGGGGGGGGTAAGGCTCAAAATGTGTTCTGCAATAATTTATTGCATCCACGCAACAGCCACCGTGTGGGGAGGCGAGGAGAAACTCAGACGAAAATAAATGACTGAAAGTGAGAGGAGGGAGGCGTATTTGTGTGCGTGTGTGTGTGGGCAGAAAAGGAAAAGAAGAAGAAGAAGAAAAAAAAACAACAGTTGTAGAAATAACTGTCCTTGCATTAACTACGCATTACTGCTCTGTGTATACTGCATCCCGTATGTATTTCTGTAGGTTTGTCATTTGTAAGGAGACGCAAATAAAAGAGGGCAATATACATATAAAGTAACGACAAGAATAGTCGAATAGGGAGAACAGCCAGCAAAATGGGTCGTGAGTTTGATGCTGAGACACGTGCGTCATTGCTCGCGGTGAACGGGGAGGAGGGCGACAAGCAACGCTCTTTTGATGAACGGGCTAAGAAGGCGATGAGAAATTTGGAGAAATGTGAACAGCAATTAAATACACGCCGACATCAGTGGCGGAAGCGTCTGAATGATTTATGGGGACCGGAGCCGCCGTATAAATTGCAGCCCGAAGATGCCGCCAGTTGGATTTGTGGTCAGCTGTACTACACATGGATAGGCGACTTCATGTTCCGCGCTGCACGGGAGGAGCTGAGTGAAGAGGAGATGCCAGGACCAACGCGCATGTCCCGCGCATACAACAGTGGCCTGATGCTGTCGCGTGTCCTCCAGCAGCAGCGGTTCCAACGTCGTGTGTGGGATGCGTACATTGGCGTAGAGGTACGCCACCGCAGGGACCGTGACAGTGCGGGGGAGCTCCGTTGGGTGGGGTACGCGCAGCAGAAGCGCACACCGCGGCAACTTTACGCAGGGGTGGAGTGGCGTGTGCCGCCCACTCACCGCCTGAAGGAGGAAAGCAGGAACGCGTCCCGCTCGCCCTTTACGAATGGTGTTGTGGAGGGTGAATATCTGTTTAACACGTCCTCCGGGAACGCCACCGCCACCTGTGAGCGCGTGGAAGACATTGTCATCCATTGCCCCTTGCCGGAGAAGAAGCGGCGGCAGGGCGGTATGCCGGTCACAACGCAGAAGAGGCCGAAGCCCATGTCTGTTGCACGCGCCCTTTTCAGCGCGCTTGGCTACCACGTTTACGTGCTTATTCCCTTCCGTTTGCTCCGTGACACCTGTCAACTCGCCGTGCCGGTGGTACTTCAGTATTATATCGAGTACATCGAGACAGCGGACCCGAGCTGGCGTGACGGGCTGCTGCTTGTTTTGGCCTTTTCTTTCCTAACACTTGTGCAGAGTGCGGCTGGCAGCAAACTGACGCAGCTCGGATGGCGCAGCGGCTACACGTTTCAGAACGCACTGCAGGGCGTTCTCTTTGAGAAATGTGGAACCATTTTAAGAAAGGCACTTTCCCACCCGGAGATGAGCGTGGGCCGCATTGTCAACATGGTGAGCAGCGACATGAACAGCGCGAGGAGTTTTCCACTGATGCTACCCTTCTTGTTTGGTGCCCCGCTGCAACTCATCTTTGCCCTTGCGCTTTTGTATCGCCTTGTTGGCTGGTGTGCCTTTGCTGGCTTCGGTGTCCTTATTCTTTTTATGCCACTGCAGGGAATTCTCATGCGCCGCTACTACACCGTGTACGGACGACTCTCGCGGGCGACAGATGCGCGACTTAAGGCGACAAATGAGTTTTTCTCCGGCGTGCGAATAGCGAAATTTATGTCGTGGGAACCGTCGTTTATTCGACGCATTGAGGAGAGACGACGGGAGGAGCTCGTCGCTCTGCGTGCCTCGCAACTGTTGTATGTCTCCGTCTCGTTTCTCACCAACGCTATTCCGGCATTTGTCGTGGCGGTTGTCTTTTTGCTGTACATTGAGATGGGCCACGAGTTGACCCCCGCCATTGTGTTCCCAGCCATTGCGCTGCTCGGAATCATGCAGACACCATTTGTCATGATTCCTGTCGCCCTTTCAGGTTTGGTTCGCTTTGTTGTGTCCATGCGCCGCATCACGAAGTTCATTGAATGCGAGGATGCCGATGACGGGATGCGGGAGATGCTTCTGCAGCATACGGCCAACAGCCGGGCGATACCAGAAGAGATCAAAGACCTGATGCATACACCCATTGTGGCATCGGTGGCGGCGGAGTTCACACGCGCTACCATCTCCACATTTGTACCGCAAAAACTACCACCGAATGCAAAGGAGCTGCGAGCCGCGCAAAAGAAGAAGCCGGATGGTGCAGAGCCTACAAGCTCCAGCCAGTACTATGAGCTGCGGCCAAAAGACCTCCTTCACGGCATTACACTGTGTATTCCGAAGGGGAAACTTACATGCGTAGTTGGTGACACCGGTAGCGGCAAGTCCACGCTGATTGAATCTTTGCTTGGCGGCCACGAGGTGACATCGGGTTTCCTCCGTTCCGTGCCAAACATCGCCTACGTGCCGCAGCAGGCATGGATCATGAACGCCACGCTGAAAGAGAACGTTCTTTTCTTTAGCGACATGGACGAGGCTCGCTTTCGGCGTGCGCTGCGTTGCACACAGCTGGAATCGGACCTCAAGCTTCTCTTGAACGGTGTGGAGACGGAGATTGGTGAGCAGGGAGTAAACTTGAGTGGTGGGCAAAAGGCACGCGTCAGCC